AGTCACGATTATTCATCTTAAGAAACATTTGAATTAGGCATTAAATGTTCACCTCCTTTTATTAATTTATTTGTGCTTACTGACTTTAATTTTCTATGGTTATTATAAAGGTGATATACAGAAGTAAAGAGTACATTTCTTTTTGGACAAGGTAACCCCTTCCCACTCTCTCTAGTTTCATTTATGCTTATTTCAAATAAAAATGGGGTGCTGGTGGCTTCCACCTGTAATCCTAGCTACTCAGGAGGCTAAGCTCTGAGAATCATAGTTCAAAGCCAGCCCCTGTAGGAAAGTTCATGAGATGCTCCAATACCAGCAAAAAGCTGGAAGAGGAGCTGTGACTCAAGTGGTAGACCAGTAGTGTTGAGCAAAAGGGCTCAGGGATAGCACTCAGGCATTGAGTTCAAGCCCTAGGACCAGGATTTAAAAAAAAAAAAAGGGTTCTGTTCAAGATGTTCTGTTGAACATCAGCTTTTCCATAAAATTTAAGCATATTCTTGCAAAATTTTATTTATTCTTTGAGTCTGCAACTGTAAAGAGATTGGGTCAGATAATTTTACACACTTGACATTGATGGCTCAAATTTTATTCCCTATATCATGGTACTCTGATCAATTTGTCTTCCTTCTACCAGCCAGTTTTACTGGCTGAAAATTGAGAAGTGAATTCTACTACCCTTCCGTTTTCTTTTTTGTAGTGTTAGTCTTTGAACTCTTTTTTTACATTCCTCTTCAGGGCTATGGCCTGAAGTTAAGTCCTAAACGTATGTTTTTTAGTGCACAACTTAAAGGTTCTTAACCTTAACCAGGTCATTGCTGGATGTTGGATGCCCAAATGTGAATGACATTTGCTGCCTGAAGAAATTCAGACACCAGTCATATTACAACAATGATGACTAAGGAGATAATAAATGCAAAGATAATTGCTTGAATGGAAATAACCAAAATGTTCCCTGGAAACAGAAGACAAAGAGAGCCTAAGTAAGTCTAGTGGTCGGGTATTTGTGAGGGCCAGGGCAACAAAATGGAACAGAATATGCAGGCTGGCGGGACAGTGTTTGCAAAGAGCTGAAGATGAGAGTCGGTCTGCAATGAGAATCACAAACAGCTCAGCATTGTTGGATTGTGAAATGCAGAGGGAATAAGGAGGGATGGCTACACAGGGCCCACTCAGAGCTTTGTAAGCTTTTTAATTGAATACTGTCTGGCCATATGTTGAAATTAATCAAATTTAATTGGATGTCAAGATTTTAAAGTGTTGTTAATATAAACTCCTGAAATTATACAAAATTCGTAAGTTTGGGGTCAATATTTTTGCATTTTGCCTTAGAAGAAAATAACGGAGAGAAATTGAGTTCCTAGAAAACTCTCATGTTCCCGAGGGCTTTTTTTCAAGGATGAACTGATCAAGGTTAGACAGTTATTTCTAAGACAAAAGAATACCTTGGTTTTCTTAATACCTCCTTTAGTTTTTCTCTATTTTGTGAAACTGAAGTTTGATGTGATTTAACATTCTCTCAGTGATGAAATTTTGAGAGCCTTACTCCATTAAAAAAATAAAACTACATTAACTGTTTACTTGGCATTTGATCAGTTCTTATACTTTGAGTAAACTGAGACTTTTCCTGAATGAAATGGAAAGATAAAAGCAAAGCTCTCTATTCCCTATGAAAACAAAAATGTTGGGGAAAAGTGACTGGAATTTGAACTTAGGGCTTCAGACCTGGTGGGCAGATGTTCTACCTCTGGAACCACGCCCCCTTCCCCTTTTCTGTTTGTCTTTTGGATAGCATCTCAGGCTTTTTGCTGGCTGACTTTAGACTGTTACCCACTGCATCTAGCATAGCTGAGATTATAATGTTCTGGTGCATTTAAGTTAAAAACAAAATACCATATGCCTTTGCCCATTTCCCATTTTCCCTTCTAAAACATTTTTCCCAATTCATCTTCAATAATGCACTCAAAGGGCTGTCTCTTGAGGTTTTCCAAGTCTGGCTATTATATACCGATATTCCCTTAGGGACCAGAAATTTCTTTTCTTCTATCACTGTCTCTCGCCCTCCCCCACAGATTGCTTCTCCCCCATAACACATATGTATACTTATCAAAACCCCCAAATCCTAATCTAGCTATATTTTAATTTGAGTTAGACGAACACTTATGGTTTACATGATTTACATGATTATAATTATCTAAATGCTAGGTACAGCTCAATCATGTTACAAATGTTGATTATTTTGGCTTTTCTCTGTAACATTTTGTTATACTTGGAATTGATACCACAGTTTCTTGAGAACCAAACACCAACTCAGCCCCAAAGTCATTATCAACTATCTTAATGTCCTCTGCATATGCTCATATGTTCAAGAATTTTGCTTCATTGGGAAGAAATCTCAAGGTCCAGGCGTCTGACCTATTCTAATGCAAACTCTTCTTGCGCTATCATCTTGAGGAAGTTCTCTGGAGGAAGTTCTTCCAGATACTTTACTTTTCACATTCTGTTTTCTTCATCTTTATTCAATCTATTTTTAGTAGCTACCTCAGATAGGATGAGAAAATTTTTTTTTGTGTGAACTCTCATTCCTGAGGGTTTTTGTTTTTGTTTTTCAGTTGTGGGGCCTGAACTCTGGGCCTGGGCACTGTCCTTGAGCTCTTCAGCTCAAGGCTAGCACTCTACCATTTGAGCCACAGCACGACTTCCGGTTTTCTGGTCATTAATTGGAGATAAGAGTTTCACGAACTTTCCTACCCAGGCTGGCTGTGAACTGCGATCCTCAGATCTCAGCCTCCTGAGTAGCTAGGATTACAGGTGTGAGCCACAGGCACTGGCTCATTCCTGAATTTTATGTTGTTGATGGCTTTTTTGAGCATTAACTCTTACACTTTTTCCATTAGCCATTGTTACCTTACTTTCTAGTCCCTGGTGCTGCATCCACTTGTTTATTTTTACGTCAACATTTTACCTTTCTCACTATACTGTCAGTCCCAGGACCACAGGGAGTGTGCCCTTCCTTCCTTGATCACTATTCCTGGGGCCTAAAGAGAGTCCTGGAACTTAGTAGAGTTCCCATAACTGCTTGTTGACAGAATAGATGGTAAACATTCCAGATGGAGGGCCGTGGGAATGCTTCTACATCAACCCCTTTGGGGCTAAAACACATGTTTTCAGAATCATCAATATCATAAATCTATAAGTTTAGAAAAAATTACGTGGTGGTAAAGGAGCTGCTCATCTCAGTTCACAAGGAGGCCAGTTGGGGTTTCTCTGCTTAACAAGGCAGGATTTATAGGGTTTGCTTCCTACGAAAGACCTGGGTTTGATTTCTGTAATATTATCTGCTGCTGTGTAACCTTAGCCACATCACCACATCACGTACTTCTGTTTCTCTGTTTCTTTACCTGTTAGTTACAACACAGTGCCCAGCACACATCCATTCTTGTTAAATAGGCACTGCACCTATTACGAATTTTGATTTACCTTTTGGTGATCCTAGAGACCCCATCAGTAATATAGCTTGCCTCACTTGTAAGCCAGTAACCATCTTGTCTGACAGGGTGACAAAGTGCTACCTCCAACTTCCAGGAATAACAATAATAAGGAATCTTTGTGTTTTGGTCATGAAACAAAGATAGCACACGTCTGTGTGACTGGAAAATACAAGGGGGTGGGGACGCCCGTTGGTGTAAATGAGGATTCTTTTCCCTGGAGCTTCATAGCCAAGTCAAAGAGGCAGAGAATGGGCCGGCCCCAAGTTGGGTGTCTGTCTGTCTGTCTATCTATCTATCTATCTATCTATCTATCTATCTATCTATCTATCTATCTATCTATCTATCTATCTATCTATCTATCTATCTATCTATCTATCTATCTATCTATCTATCTATCTCCAGGTCACCATTTGGGACTCACCTTGAGCAGACAGAGTTCCTTAGTCCCCGACAAGACAAACATGCCCAGATGCCAGCTAGCTCCAGACAACCGCCATTACACTTATTCACTTTCTTTTTTCTCTGTTTCTGTCTCTCATAGTGGCATAGTATATTCCTTGAAAATCACAACACAACTCCTTCCTCATTCCATTAAAAAAAAAAATTCCCCTCTGGGAATAGAGCACGACTTTTGTCCATCTCCTTCGAAAGTGGGCCACTGCGTAAGATGAGAGGAAAGAAGTCTTTGGGTTTGAGGACTGAGAGGCACACAAGCCATGGTGATGACTGCAAAAGGTTTTTCTCCCAAGTTTTCTCCTGTCTCCCTTGTCCTGTTCAAACTCCAGGGACAGACCCACAGGGCCCTGTGCTGAGTTTAAGGATGTGGTGTGCGTGTAGGAGTTGTGCATGCTCTCGGTGTGTGCTCAAGGAGTGAGCTGTGATCGAAGCTGCACGCGTCCACGTTGGGAGGAAGACTTGAAGAGTGTGCAGGGGAACGAGTGTGGCCAGGGCATACGTGTGGATGATGAAGTCCGCGTGCACTTCTTTCTGGCACATTCCAGACCTCTGAGCTTGAACTTGAGTGGTGTTTCAAGTAGCCCAGTGCAGGGGTGGGACCGGCTTTGTGCGCTTAGGCGCCGGCAGCGGTGGCGGTGTGTACGTGGAGATTGTGTGCGCGCGCGAGCGAGCGTGTGAGCGCCGGGGGGCTGCCCTCCCTCCGTCCCTCCCTCCCGCGTGCCCTCCCGCCGCGGCTCCCCGTGGGCCGGGCCCGCCAATGAGCGCGCGTCTGCCGGGGCGGCGGGCGGGGAGGGGGGCGGCCGGGCCCTGCGGATGGAGGCGCGGGCGGCGCGGCGAGCTCATTCCGCGCGGGCGTTGCTAACGGGGGGCGGCGCAGTCACTGGCCCGGGACCCGAGCGGCGACCCAGGGCGGCGGGCGGCGCCCCAGGCTGGGATGCGCAGGGGGCTCCGTGGCGGCGGCGGCGCCGGGGTCCGCGGCGTCGGCGGCTGCGGGGGGACGAGCTAGCGCCGCGGCGCGGGCAGTCAGTCGGGCCCGGCGGGCGAGCGGAGGCGGCGGCGGCGGCGGCGCAGGCTGAGCGGCGGGGGCAGCTGGAGCTCCAGCGTCGCGCGCCCACCATGGCCGCCCAGGCTGAGCCCGGCTACCTGGCCGCCCAGTCGGACCCTGGCTCCAACAGCGAGCGCAGCACCGATTCGCCCATGCCTGGCTCGGAGGACGACCTGGTCGCCGGGGCGCCCCCGCACTGCCCGGAGTGGAGCGAGGAGCGCTTCCGCGTGGACAGGAAGAAACTCGAGGCCATGCTGCAAGGTAGGCATCCCCCCCCCCCCGCCCCCCAACTGGCTTTTTTTTTTAAACTTCTAGGCTGCGTCCCCGACTCCTTCCCGGACATCTCTGCACCCCGTCCCCTCCCCGAGCGCCCCAGCGTCCGCTTCCTGGTTCCCGCCCCCCCCCCCCCCCGGACCCCAGCGGAGCGGCGGGGCACCCAGGGTGTGGAAGACCTCCGGGACTCCCCACGCCTCCCGGCTCGCCACTCATCGGGGACCCTGGCTGACTTAAGCGCCTCTAGACCAAAGCACAAAGTGGGTCCTGGCGCGCTGAAGTTGTTGCCATGTGGACTCTGGAGGTGTCAGCTTTTAGCCGGGACACCCGGGCGGTGTCACCCGGACGCGCTCGGGGCGCACCGCAGACCCCGCGTGCCCGTCGGCCTGCCCGCTGCCCAGCGGTCTCGCATCTAGCGCTGGTCCCACTCTCTCCCCTGGTCAGTATCCACTTCCTCCAGCTGAGGGGCCTTGTCTGGCTATTGGGAAATGCTCTGCAGATGTCAGGGCTTAAGACGCGAGCTCCTCCTCCTTCTTCCCCACCGAGGGGCCGAGACGGGGCGGGGTCCCAAGGCCAGGGGATTGAGGCACTGCTGCTGTGGTTGAGGAGTGTGTGTGTGAGAGTGTGTGTGTGTGTGTGTGTGTGTCTGTGTGTGTGTGTGTGTCTACCCCCTGACTGGCTTGTAAAATACAAATCTTCCTGGTCTCTGGGTATCTGACTTGGTCTTTCACAATTTGGAATTTTTTTTTTTAAACCTCTTTCCCTCGGGCTTTCCTAGGCAGAAGAGCTTTAGTCAGATTGGACCATGAGCACATTGTGATTTTTAAACTGAGGATCGATTAGAGTAAATGCTAAAATGTCCAAGGTCATTTTGACCTTGTTCAAAAATGTTAATTGCTAGTCTACCTGTAGTCACCATAGTGGCTCAGTTTCCACCCACAAGGAGAATTGGTAGTTTGAATGACTAGGGTTAAGACTTGCGAAGAGGAGCAGGCCCTGGGCTCGCTCACTCAGGGTGAGCAGTGAAGAGTCATTCAGTAGCCAGTGCCCTTTTATCACGGGAGGATTGAAGCTCTCCAAACTTTCTTTTGTGGCTTTGTGCATAACTTCTTTTGACTTTATCAGTCAGTGTATCGCAGTATGGGAGCAAGTTAGTCTTCTGTGGAAATGCAGTGGCTTTTTAGAACAATTAAGCAGGTTATTTTAAGAGGGAACAACTTGTTTTCCAAAACAATAACTTGATGGAAACAAATAGCAGGAGTGCTTGGCAGGCTTTTTTTTGGATGCGATGCAAACTCATCTCCCTTGTTGCTTATTTTTATTGATAAACATCCCTAACTCTTGTCTTGTCTATGTCTCCTTTTCTCTTAAATTATGTAACTTTCTAGGACAGTTGTTTTGAAACGATAAACCATTCAGAGTATTAAAGGGCAGATTGGAAAATTAAAACACAGCTGCATTTCAGTAAGTCATTTTAGTTACTCCATTTGTTTTATGATTCTTTTTGCCTAGTTTCTGGGTCTTAAAGTATTCAATTTACACTGGAAAAATATTATGAGAGTATTTGCATGGAACTGGTAAGACCACATACATACTCACTCAGTCTTTTTTTATTGTGAAAATACTGTACAGAGGGGTTACAATTACATGGGCAAGATAATGAGTACATTTCTTATCAAGCATTGTAGCCTCCTCCTTTATTTCCCCTTCCCATCCCATCCTCTCCCCGCCCCCCCAACCCTCCCCCCCAACCCTCCCCCCTCACCAAAGTTGTAAAGTTCGTTATGTCACTCAGTCTTTTCAACAAGTTTCCAACCTGTTTTCTACTGAGTTGGGGTAATATGAAAGATTCCTAATCTTTCTCTAGTAGGGCATTGTTGGTATTTCCTGCTTTACATATGTGCAGACCAGTGACAGTAGTATCTGCCCCTAGTGTCTAACCTGAGTTTTAGAAGTAGATTTTGTTTTTCTTCACTTTGGGCTTGAATGCAATGAAATATTCATGGAGAAGTTTTTATTTTTTATTATTAATAAGTTTGTTTAATGTGAAAATACTGTACAGATGGGTTACAATTACATGAGCAAGGTAATGAGTACATTTCTTATCAAGCATTGTTGACTCCTCCTCCTTTGTTTTCCCTTACTATCCCTGCCCTTCTACCCGCCCCCCCTTGCAAAGTTCGTTTTTTGACATAGCATGTTATACATTTCATTGTTGCAATGGGTCCACCTGTATCTCTATTTAAACATTTTGTTTTTTCCCTTCCCCTCCACAAATTATACCAACATCAAATACAGTGAGAACAGGGGTTATACTGTGGGGGAGGGACATACAAAGCAACAAAGAAATCACCTTATAAATATGTTAGAAACAATAGCAAGCAAGAACAACCATTTGAGTCCTTATCTTAGGGTTCATTTCCCTAACATTAATTTATCTGACCTTTTCTGCTTGTCTCAGACATACACTAGTTATTGCAAATAAGGGAAACCATGGGACCTATGTTTCTTTGGGCCTGGCTTACTTCACTTAATATAATTTTTTCCAAGTCTTTTCATTTCCTAACAAATGGGGTAATGTCATTCTTTCTGATGGAGGCATAAAATGCCAAAGTTGAAAACTGTCCTTTGTAGATTTGCTGTTCTGACACCGCATAGTTTAAAATTGGTTTGCAGTGATCAAGTTTGCCTTGAAGAAAGTCTTAACATTTCTCCAGCCTATATATAAAATGAAATACAGTACTCAGTGATCAAACACAGTGGTCTTATTAACTTAGGAAAAATCACCTACAAGTGAATGATCCCTGTTTTGAAAGTAAAGTTTGAACAGGTTTGAAACCTGTTCGTGGTGTGCTAAGGCATTTTAGGATGCATACTTCCTTCCCAGTGTCAAGTTATGTAGTACCATCATGTCTGAAGGAGTAAGACTGATTTTGGAGTCAGATGTAATCATGTGCATTATTGCTTTGTACCAGCCAGTTTTGTCAAGTGTGAATACTGGAGACACTCAGGTTAGGGGTTCAAATACCTATAGAACTTTAGAAATGTTCCTGGGTGTCTCTGTTCCCTTCTTTTTCCCATCTGTAAAATGGAGATGATATTAGAACTTTGTCTGAGGGTTTTGATGAGAATGGAAAGAATTAATGCCTAACAAGTTAAGACGATATAGTGTTGGCCAATGATAAGAACTTCATAAATATCAATTGCTTTTATTATAATTAATAAAGATTACATCATAGATTTAGATGATTTCCAGTGCCTACCACAATTGATGGCATATGAAGTATATTTACTAAATAGTTGTGGGAACAAAAGAATTTTGCAAGTTCATAATTATGGAAGCAAAATTGGAACCAACATAGGAACTCTGGCAAAGCAATGTATTCTAACATTATCAGTTATTTATTTATTTAAAGCTTTTTGTTTGGAAAGTGTCACATAAGTAAAGATTGTATTTGGTGGTGTTTCTGATTATTGTGAATTTGTCCTTTTTCTTTTATAACAGCTTTCAAATTATGTGGGATTTCCAGTTTAAGTCAGAATAAGTAAGATTGTTGGCCTTTAAGTATTGAGAGTGTAAATTGGTGATTATAACTCTTGGAATTTGTTTTCAGAGAGACTGTCCTGGGGGCAAGTTAATCTTTAATGAGTTGTATTTTTATTGCTGGAGAAATTCTTATACGCAATGAACCAAAAATTCAGTGAAGTTCAAACATGGGCACTAGGGTAGTAGTCAAATAAAATACCATTCTTAGATGATCACTGAATGTAAAATAATTGATGCACATAAAAACCACCAGCCCATAGGGAATGGCCACTAGTTTTTCATAGTTTTATTTGTTTCCTTTCTTTTGTTAAATAACTATTTTAGAACAACCCCAAAATGCTGTTTTTGTTGAAACTAGATGAAAATGATTTTTTAAAGTGGGAATGTATTGTTGAGTGTAGGTTTTTTGATGGGAATAGTCAATTTTAGACTGAATAACATGGACAGCATTGTTTTAGTAATACATATTCTTAATTTCTTTAATGTTAATTTTCAAAATTTTGATTTCTTGCATCTTGTGAAATGATAGTGTTTATTCACTTAAGTGAGTTATATATAAGTTTTCTTCACTTTTTGTTTTTGGTCGGTTGTGAGGCTTGAACTCTGGGCTTGAGCATTGTTCCTCAGCCCTTCGGCACAAAGCTAGTGCTCTACCACTTGAGCTACAGCACCACTTCCCGTTTTCTGGTAGTTTATTGGAGATTAAGAGTCTCACTGACTTTCCTGCCGAGGCTGGCTTTGAACCTTGATACTCAGATCTCAGCCTCTTGAGTAGCTAGGATTACAGGAGTGAGCCACAGGTGTGCCCAGCTTACATATGAGTTTTGATATATAAAAAGGAGAGAGAAGCAAGGTACCGGCGATTCATACTTGTAACCCCATCTACTTGGGTGGATGAAACCTGAAGAACTTAGTTTGAAACCAGCCTAAGTAGAAAAGTCTATATCCTGGTGAGAATGAAAGGCCTTGAGCCTAGTACTAGTGTGCCATCACAAATGAAGGAAGGAAGAAAGAAGGAAGGAAGGAAGGAAGGAAGGAAAAAAAGGAAGGAAGCAGGAAGTAAGTAAGAGATGGGCTTGGATGGCTCATGTCTGTAATCCTAGCTACTCCTGTACATACAAGATCCTAGCTGAGGATCCTGGTCCAAGACAGCCCAGGCATGAAAATCTGTTATCTCCAAATAACGACCAAAAAGTCAGAAATGAAGCTGTGGTTCAAAGTAGTAGAGTGCTAGCCTTGAGCAAAAAGCTCAGGGACAGTGTCTAGGGCCTAAGTTCAAGTCCCAGGACCACCACCACCACACACACACACACACACACACACACACACACACACACACACACAAATGTGTACCATAGAATTAAATGTTCCTACATAAAATTTAGAAGCATATGCAGTTTCAGAGTTCTGAATATCTTGTTCTTCAGCAGAGGAGGAAGAG